TTAATGTCATGTGCAATATGGTCTGTTGCTCCAGTATCTAATATCCAGATAGAGGAAGACTTACCAATGGAATTGGAGGAATGAGTATTCATGACCAAAGATGAGGTGGAAATAGAGTTGGCTTGGGAGTTAAGTTTTGATTGTTGGAGCAATTCAAGGAGATTGTTGTACTGCTCTTGAGTGAGATTACATGAAGAGGCTGTTGATTCCTGCTGGGATCTGTCACACACAACATTTATAGTGGCAGTATTTTGATTGTTGTTGCTAGAAGATTGAGCCTTGCCTTTGCCTTTGAAACCTGGTGGATAACCATGTTTAAGAAAACATGTTTCCACTGTGTGGTTAGTCCTACCACAATGTGTGCATACACGATTGTGACCTCTACTAGGACCTTGATTCTTGCCTTTGAAGGTGTTATTTCCAGATTTACCATTGGAATTTCCATAGCATGCTTGTGATTGGCATGCCATGACTAGTTCTTCAGGGCTAGATGAAGCTTGAACCAATGAGGAGGCAGAGCTGTTAAACTCATGTTCTTGCTGAATGGTGAGGGAAAAGGCTTTACCCAAATCTGGCATAGGATTCATCATCATTATCTCTGATTTAGAATGAGTAGATTTCTCACTCAAGCCTTTTAGAAACCTAATTACTTTGTCTTATGCCCGATATTGCTTAGCAGAAGCTTGCTCCACAAGAACAATATATAGTGCAAGAACATGCAAGAATAGGTCTGTAATTCTCTAATTCATCCCATAGCACCTTCAATTGAGTAAAATAATTGGAAACTTCTAGGTTACCTTGACGGAGCTTGTATATATCCTCTTGTAAATCAGAAATGCAAAATATATCACTGTGAGAAAACCTGAGCTACAGATTCTTCCAGACTCCAGCAGCAGTTTCAATCCAAAGCACTGATTTTGCAATGGAGTTAGAGATGGACCTGTGAATCCACGCGAGCACCATTGTGTTGCAGCGGATCCACAACGCGTAAAGGGGATCTGAAACTGGTGGTTTGCTAAGAGAGCCATTGATAAATTTGTCTTTGTTTTTGGAAATCAATGCAATGTGCATAGATCTAGCCCAATTGTGGTAGTTCTTGTCATCAAGAAGAGGAGAAACCAAAACTAGTGCAGGGTTTTCATTGGGAAGGAGGTAGAAATGATTTGTAGAATTTGCTGAAAAATCAATGAATTATTGGTATGCCATTGTTGAAAGATTCAAGAATTACTGTAACAAGACGGTACGATGCAAGAAAGGGAATAACAATGGCTACCAGAGCCGTGTAAGCTCTGATACCACATCAACATTAAAGAAACAGAGCATGATAGTTCACTCCAAGAACACAAGCAAGGAGGAAGAAGAAGAAGAAGTTGTAACTTAATCAGTTACAACATAACAGAATGGAATAGTAATGCGGAAGAATATTGAAAGTATCATTCATTCATTAATTGATCAAAAGAGGTCCATACAAAGGTTTTATATATTTACAGAGTATCTAAACAGACCAATACAAAAAAGGACACGTGGCTCACTATTCTATCCATCTAAACATATCTAAAATAATATACATATGCTAATAAGAGTTTTACAAACTCAATCACATATTTTACATATAAATAAAATATATCATTATTGATATAATTTCACATGAAAGAGTATGATGGTCATATCAAAGATTTACCATCATTTGAGTGAGATCAAATCTCTATAATTTTAAATATAGAATTATATACAACATCTTAATAACTCACTCAAAACTCAAATGCTATAAATATAACTACACACATTTGAGAAACATACTATATTATACGCAACAAAAATATATGAGACTTTAGTTTAATTAATATTGAGGATATAACACAACTAGTCGTAAATTTCCATCAATAACATAAGACTATAATATCCTCAATATAATTCTCCATAAATAATACAATATTCACTACAACAAAAACCTTATTTAGGCATGGCTTTTTGCCGGGGGATAAACTCCTCACTGAATTTATTACGTTGTCAGGTGATGAACCCCTCACAACGCACAAAACAAAAAAATAATATCTAATAGCATTTTGGCGTGGGGACTCCCCTCGCAGATGCATTTGGGGGAATTTCAAAATTCGAAATTATTCATTGCGAGGGGCTAAGAAAAAGCGCGTCATAATACTTGACAATTTGCCAGGGACTAACCCCCTCGTAAAACTACATGACAATTTGCCAGAAGTTTCCTCTAGCTAAAAAGAGAATCTCTACACACAATCTCATTACTGTTTAATATGTCAGCTCATGCATTTATTACTTGATAATTTGTCAGAGGCTAACATCCTCACAAATTTCCCGGGCTAACCCCTCACAAATTACCACCATTTATATCCACAACACCTTTCCTCTTCTTACTTTAATTTTTACAACTTCTTTATCTTTTTTTTTCTCTTTCAATATTTCTCCATTTCATCACTTTTCTCTCTTTATACTTTCATAACTCTAATCTCATTACTTTTCTCTCTCAATACTTTCATTTTTTTCTCTTCTTTTTCTCAACAACAATCAATTAAATTAAATCATTTTCTCAACTCAAACATATTTTATCTCAAATATTTTACTAAATAGTTGATTTATGTATCTATTTTATTTTATGATTTAATTTATAATCTAATTTTTATTTTATTTTATTTTTATTTATTTTCTGTTTTATGTTGTATATATATTTATTTAGTAAATATATAATATATAATAAATTTCGATTTTTTTAATATATATATATATATATATATATATATATATATATATATATATATATATATATATATATATATATATATATATATATATATATATATATATATATATATATATATATATATATATATATATATATATATATATATATATATATATATATATATATATATATATTAAAAAAACTGTATATATTTAGTATATATATATAGTATTGACGATTTTTTTTTTAAATTAACAAAACAATTTAATATATATATTTATATATATTAAAAACAGTATATTTATATATATACTCTAAGAAATATATATTTTTATAAAAATAATATATTTAGTATTAGAAACTTATAAAAGTAGTATAGGATTTTTATGTTTAGTATTTTTAGGATTTTTAAAATATAAATATTAAAAATAGTACGTGTAGTACTTTTATATTGGTTCTATTAATTATGTTTGAATTTTAATTATATTATAATTATATTTATTCTATTAATTATATTTTAATTATATTTTTTTTAATTTATATTAATCATATATTTTGTCAGGGGCTTAACCCCAAGCAAATAGAAAACACATACATTTTGTCAGAGGCTTAACTCCAAGCAAATGGAAAATGCATACATTTTTTCAAGGGCTTATCCCCAAGCAAAATTTCTGACGCACTGAATCGTTTGCTGCATTAATAGCTTGCGCCTACGTCTGCATGTTGCATATTTGAAAATTGTGATTGTATTTTGCGAGGGGCTTAGCCCCTGACAAATAGGTGACGTGGAAAGCCCCTCGCAAAATAATTTGCGACCCCTGTTTTCTTAGTGGAGTAGTTCTCTTGCAAATTTTGTATTTGTGTAGAGTTTTTGCCACATGTGAGAGGTTATCCCCTGACAAATTGCATTTTTTTTTGTAGTGATTAAAGAAATAATAATTGATTCTCATTTCTATACAATTGACATGTTAAATTCTCTCATTTGATAGAGAAAATAGTAGTTGAATTATTAACGCAAGAGTTTAAAAAATATTTTAAACATATATTCAACTATTTTATCTATCACATAATTATCATGTCAAACAACGTCATACCGATAGAGTTATGTCCACCACTTACGTAATACAAAGAGAATTGAAATTCATTTTTAAAAATAGTGAAAATAAATTATTGGATTTCATAAAGTATTACATGTCTTTAAAGAATAATTTCTTATTTCTCAAATATAATTGACATGTTAAATTCTCCCACTTGATAGAGAAAAATAGTTGAGTTATGAACTTAAGAATTTTAAAATATTTAACAAATATTCAACTATTTTCTCTATCACATACCGATCATGTCAAGTAATGTTACACCGATAGAATATGTCCATGACTTATATAATACAAAGAGAATTGAAATCCATTAAAAAATAAATAAATAAATCATTATTGATATAATTTCATTCGAAAGAGTATGATGGTATAAGATATTTACCATCATTTGAGTGAGATCAAATCTTTATAATTTTAAATATAAGATTATATAGAACATCTTAATAACTCACTCAAAACTCAAATGACACAAATATAATTACACACATTTGAGAAACATATTATATTATACGCAACAGAAAAATATAAAACTTTAATTTAATTAATAATGAGGATATAACACAACTAGTCATAAATTTCCATCAATAACATAAGACTATAAGTCCGCATATATACTATAATATTACAGAAATAATAATTGATTCTCATTTCTATACAATTGAAATGTTAAATTTATACGTTATATGATTCTGAAAAAAAAAATTATATGTGAATTATATAGTATATATTATAAGAAAAAAATCAAAGTTATGAGAATGTTATTTTTTTTTAAATGATTATGAAAACTTATCATAACAATATATTATATCATTCTATCTTTTAATGCTTTTTAAATGAGAACAAATGATTACAGCTGCCAAATTCTAATTAATAAAAATCATTGGATCATATATATATTATCTTTAAACAGTTCAAAGAATTAGATTAATATGTAATAAAAAATGTATTATTTATAAAAGAGAATACAATGAAAGAATGTGGAGACACCCATTAATACATCGACAGTGAACTTATTGAAATAATGATTAAATGAAGGAATAAAAAAAATTCAAATTGTTTGGTGTTTGTGATTTGGTAAAAAAATTCAAATTGTTTGGTGTTTGGGTGAGTTTGTAAGAATAATCAAAGTCATTCTATTTGTTTAAACAATCCTTTAAATGAATGGTTAGATCTGTTCAGGTGAATTTCTAAGCAGGAATTGGCAAGTGCATATGTTTCCGAAAATGATTCCCTGCAGTCATCTGTTTCATCTGCATATATTTCATCTGTTCTTCATTCTGAAGTTCTGTCATGCTTTCAATGATTATCTCAGAAGCATTAGCCACAAATTCTGACAAGTTCCTGCATTTCACAATCAATAAAATTAATATCACAAATTTATCCATAACCTACATTCATTCAATATGTATCATATTAAGTTATTTTATAATACACACTTATATTTTCCCATTAAGTGAGTTTGATAGGTTCTCGGATGCTCAATTGCATGAGCGCAGATTCAAACCCACGACATCTCATTTATTCAGTTTTAAAAAATAAAATTCTTATCGCTAGTCTATTAGACCAAAAAGTAAATAAACTTATACCCTTTTGAAGAATTGAAGGTGAGTCCAACGGTGTTCTTAGCCTCGTCGAGAGCCCATCTAAATCGCCGAAGTTCGTCATTGGACCAATTTCCATGGTTAACAACATGCAGTTGAGAAGGTTTAACATCACAAAAAATGGGAATCACCTTCTTCTTACAAGCTGTCAAAAGAGCAAGCTCATGGAGACAAAAATAAGATTCACAATAACGAGGTGAGAAAACCGCCACCCCTATCTTACACTCAACGACCCCGCCGTTGATCTTATCGAACAATTTATCACCTGGTTTCATGTTTTTCTCATCCAAGAAAGGGTTGAAACCATGCATTCTAAGGTTGTCATAGAGAAGAGTTGCCACTGTCCTCTTTGTGTCTGGGCTTCTATGGTTGAGAAACACATCACATGGTTCTATCAAACGTTTTGCTAACACTTGTGCACTGTTTCTATGATAATTGAATAAACCCTTCATTGCCAAAGATGTCTGCATGTTGAAGTATGATAGTAATATCGAGAAACCCTAACTCAACCGACAAATATCGATATTATTAAACTCGATAAATAAGAATTTCGGATAGAACAAAAATAAAAGTATGATAATAAATTGATGAAGAGAGATTATACGTTAGTATAGGTTAAGGTTGTTGTATTTTGCATTTATTGCTACTAATGTATTTATAGACGAAGAAATATTCATATTTTCTCTTATTTTTGGTCTTGATAAAAATAATTTTGATTAGTGGGATATTCATACAAGTTTTACCTTGACGACCAAGCTGAATATGAATTTGAAAACATGAAAATAATATTGAAATTCAAAAGTTTTTCTTAACGATTTTGTTGATTTTGACAAGTGAAATAAAACTTGACTCTCTAGGAACTATACTCACGATGTCAAGTAGTAAAACTAATAACCTTTCAAACACGTTATATGGTTGTTGTTGTTGTTATTTTCTTAATTATATTTTGAACGTATTTTTTTCGTACTTGGAAAACTAATGAGACAATATGTATGTGTCTTGTCCCCTTGTTTTTCTTCATAGGTTCAAAGTACTTTCGTACTGTCTGCCCCAAGAATGATGTTTTAATCTTTTTTATCATTTGTATTTTGGTATTTTGGCATTGATATGACAACAGGCTTAGATTCTTGATTAGTCAATAAACCGTATGTATACATGTGTCGCTGTTTAGTATATAAACATTAACGGGAAGGATGTAGACTCTAATTACTATTAAGGGGCTTTTTTTCCTTTGACCGTTTCAATTGGCAATTCTAAGTCATAACTAATAACAACTTTCCTTACAATTTGTTTGCTTCTTCATCAAGGAATTCTTTAATCAAAATAAACCTAGGCTTCGCTCAATAGTATTATTGTTATTAATATTATTTGAACTCAAGAGTAGTATTTTTTTATTTACCAATGGAGGTTCAATTTATGAAATGGATTAAACTTTTCGCAACATAATAAACTAATATTTAAATTTTGTAAATCTCATACATTGCAATGGTTGAAATTAGAGTTTGATTGAATAATATGGTGGAGTTAGTTCGAATGACTTCATTTTTAAACACTTTAACCTTCTAAGCTTTATGTTTAGGGGACTGTGTATATTTTAAAAATTAGTGGTTAACCTCAAGGCTGGTGGGACGGTCATATCCGACTCGGACATGTCCCATTTCCAAGTCTAGGCACAACATAGACCGCCTCAAAGTTGATGTATCCAGGATAAGTATTTACTGGCATTTATCACATGATGTCACGTCAGTGTATTCAAACATGTCTCCTTAATGCAATAATAATCAAATAATTGGTTATCATGGCTCTTGATTAGAATTTAACTGCATTTATATTCCTTGTCTAATATTAGGCTAAGGAGGTCAGTGTAAAAGGAATGTTACACTAAACTGGATAGGACAAACACAATTCATTCGAAGAAGTCGTTTATTGTTGCTCTTTCTGACTTGAATAAAAGGAATTATTCAACTAATGTTATTTGCGCAAATATTTGGCGCCCACTGTAAGACTCTGGTAAAACTTTCCAGGGCCACATAATATTACAAACCATCAAACTCCTCATACTTACATGATGAGAGCAAGCAACAATAATCAATGATCGCATGGTGTGAGGCTGCCATGGAGGAACTACACGTCGCCATGGAAGACCTACATCACCAAAACAAGTTATTGTGGGGTAGCGTGCACACCTTGGAGAAAAATCACCATCACCCTCAATCAAATGACGATAACTTTGAAGACCCTATTAATCCATAACCTCCTATAGTGGAAATCTTGAACGATTAAGTCCTAGATGATTTCAAGTTGTCACTATTGACCACTTTTGAAGAAAAGAGTGACCCACATGAGCACATCATAACGGCCAACACTCAGATTGCCATCATCGGAGCTACCGATTTTCTAAAATATAAATTCATGGTGAACACATTGAAGGATGCCACCCTACGCTAGTACATGAGCCTTTCCAGATTCTCCTTAACCAACTATCAGGATCTGGCAAGAAAAATGATACATCAGTTCTACGCTAGCAAACAAAAAAAGTGTTGACCACGAGCATTTTAGATGTTTGTAAAGGAAATGGTGGTTGCTGTAATAGTACTTGGCTTGTTTTAATGAAGAAACCATTAAGGTGGCACATCCTAAACATGATATATTTGTGGGGGCCTTCCAAAACGGTTGCACTTTAACGATCCGTTGGCCTAGAAATCAACGACAATAATGGAGGAGATAATGGCTCGACCATAATGTTACATTAAGGGGAAAGTAATGTGAAGAATAAGTTAAGGGGTGTGAAATATAATAGAGTATCAATATCAAAATCCAGGGGGATAAAGAAAACATAGAGATTAAGCACCCTTCAGGAGAAATTATTTCTCTAAACAAATCAGAGGGCATATGAGTATTTCACCCTGTTAAACGCAAAACGGTAAAGGATTTTTCAAGAGGTATGCCATACAAAGATCCTTCATGAGCCTAACTCATCCACGGGGAACGTGATGGGGATGAATATCGACAAATGGTGTAAATACCACATAGTATGAGGTCATCACACTAATGACTGTCACCATTTCAAGTAGGAGATTGAGAAGCTGATACAAAGAGGTCGTCATCAAAATATGTACAGGATGGTGGTCGAGGCAGAGATAGAAGGAGATCTCCACCACATGAACCATGAGGAAGAACCTCTCTGACAATGAGGGCCCAAAGCATGTGAGAAGAGATATTATAAAGTACAACACCCCATGCACTGAATAAGATAGCTAGGGGATTCACATGAAGAGGTGAATTCATCTCATCCTGGAAAAATTATGCCCGATATGTGACGCATATCGCCAATGCTCTTTCTACCGATTCTAGAGGTCCTAATTATCAGTTTCTCTCTCAAAGACGCTAAGGGTGTAATTCCACACGAAGACAACCAAACTGTGATTAATCTCGAAATTCGTGATTGGAATATGATGAGAGTATTGATTGATCCAGGAAGTTTGGCAAATATCCTGTATTGGGAAGATTTCCAAGGATTAAAGTTAGACATGGAGCTCCTCAACCATTCAAGGGATCACTAGTATCACTCTCAGGCGAGCAAGTGTAGGTCATGTATTATGTCACCATCAAGACCACCTTTAGAATAGACGAGAGTGTGAAGATGATAAAAGTAATGTGCATGGTGATAAATTCTCATTTTCCTTACAACATCGTCATAAGTGGGTTGGCCTTCAACTTTTTGAAGGTGGTCTTATAGATGTTATATCTAACCATAAATTACCCGCTGAGCAACATATGAGTTAAAGTAATAAAGGAAAACCAGCAGATAGTAAGAAAGTGCTACATAAATAACTTAAGATTAAAAAAGAAGATCAACAAGGTATTCATCCTAGACGCGCACAAAATTAACTATGTGGATCTAAATCGAAATGGAGACCTGTGAGAAGATGGCTTAACTCCAATGGAAGAGCTAAATACTGTTTAGACAGGACTCACGAATTTCCAAACTATCCAGATTGGAACGATTCTTCTGAAATATGAAGAGACCGAGATTGTGCAGTTGTTGTGAGAGATTGTAGATCTTTCTGCCTCAACATTCCTAGATATGCTTGGGATAGATCCAAATATGATTTCATCAATTATTCATAAAACACAAAGTGAAATTTGTCGCCCAAAGGAAGGGAAATGAGGGGGAAGAGAAAAAATTTGTTTGTGGCAGAAGAGGTAAAAGAGTCACTAGAGGCGAGGTTCATCCAAGAGATCAAATACCCCATATGATTGGGTAACATAGTGATGGTGGAAAAGAACTCAGGGAAATTGCAGATTTGCGTAGATTTCATAGACCTCAATAAGGCTTGCCCTAAAGACCCATATCTATTACCAAATATTGATAAAATCATATACGATGCGTCAATTTTAAGATGTTGAGTTTCATAGGCACCTACATTTAGTATAAGCAATTTAGGATGAGCCCCAGCGATGCCCAAGAAAGAAACGTTCATGACACACGAGAGGAACTACCCATCATGTCTTTTGGGTTAAAAATACAAGAGCAATATACCAAAGGCTCATGGACACTGTGTTTTATAACCAGATACGTTGGAACTTTGAGGTGTATATCATAGACATGCTGATCAAAACCCCTTATGAGGAGCGACATTATGGGGACCTAAAAGAGGAATTATCATTGATCATAAGGTTTAGTATTCGGCTAAACCCACATAAGTGTTCGTTTGATGTACAGGCAGGAAATTTTTTGGGTTTCATGTTAACTAGACAGGGAATAAAGGAAAATCCAGACAATGTCAGGAGATCATCAACATGAGAAGCATGACCTTAGTGAAGGAAGGACAACACTTGACAGGAAGGATAATAACACTCTCCAAATTCTTGTACTGTGTAGGAGATAAATCCACCACTACTACAAATAACCTCATTTCACCTTGGAAGCAAAGGGGATATAATCTCGGTAACAAAGGGGGACATGAAAACCTACAACTTTACCCCTTGATTTTTGAATATTCAAGGGGAAAATTGGCACTGATCATGGGCTCGATCCCCAGCAACTACAATTTTTTATTTCAAAAATGCACTACTTTTTACCTCAGTTTTTAACAATAGTAGAGATGTAAAGTCCTATTTACAAAATTTTAGTTTTAACCTTTTTTTCTCGTTTTAATCTACAAAGCATTTTATTGACAAATTCTAAATCTTCCTCATCATCATCAACAACAACACCAATAACAACAAAGACAAAATCAATAGAATTCTTAAACATTAATTCTCAATCATAAAAATAACAACAACAACAACAAATAAACAAAATCAATAGAATGGTTAAATACTAAATTTTAACAACAACAACAATATTAAGCATTTTACTTGATACAACTACAAATAACATTAATTAGTTACTTTCATGCTATCCTTACTAACATTAAACATTTTTAACAAGGAAATACTAGAGAAATAATTACATTAAGAAACC